AGTGAAGCGCAAAGTTTCCGCTTATTTGTGTTACTAAAGCTACTAAGGCAATCAAGATTACCACTTCTGCTATTGTTCACCCTTTAGCCTAATATATACCTATATGCATGTGGTGCACATATATGCGTAGTGGTAGAGTGTTGCAATCAATAACAAAAGTCCGCGAGTTCAAATCTCTGTGGTAGCTATCCATAGAATTGGTATGGCTGGCTGACGGCTAATAAGCCAGAACTGGTCATTTCGGTCTTCCTTGTCTTTATCCATTCCACTCAATGTATGCGTATGTGTAGTAAAGTCCCACCTATTCAAGGTTTAGTACTCGCGAGGCGTATCTAAAATATCCACTAATTATTTGCATTTATTCTCGTGTATTTGTATGCTAAGAAACGATTGACTAAGTCTGATACAAATATTAATGCAAATAAATCTTACTATCCATGAAATGACTATAAATCAGTAAGCTGATTAGTTTTTACCCTGGTAAGAATAACAACTATTGGTGTGCTCAAGCGTGCTTAAGGTTAACGTTGTGGCAAGACTTCAAAATAATAGTCAATTGTTTTTAAGGTATACTTGGTGTTTGAACATTAACATAGACTGTTATAAGCGTTTTTTTGGGGTGGGGGGTCTCAAGTATTCATGGACTTTAGCTATTCGCGTGTGGCTGAATTCCCTAGTCACCATGCATACTGGGGTCGACAGAAAATGATACCTAGCGAGGCCCTGAGGACGTTAGATGAAGTGTCCATAACCCGTCTGGTAAACCCCGTTTATGGATCATGAGCGTATTTTCTTTCGGTCTCATCTGATGATCAGTGTGTAATTAGTTAAATGAAGACAAATAAAACCGAAACAGTTCAGTATCAATCTATCACCAAGTTCCGTTTTTCTCTCCGCTCCAATTATAACTTGACTGGGTTTGGTCTGGCAGGTGGTGGCCTTTTAGTGCCCCTTGTCTTCTACACGAAGCTTCATTGTTTCGGGAAGCCAATAAGTAGGTGTGCGCCAAAATTAAACTTACACAAATGGTTAAGCTAGGAATTTTGTTCGTTGATGCATGAGATGAAGAGTTAGCAGAAAAGGACTGTTCGATCGGGCACCCAAACCAAAAAAAAAACTAAGCGAACACTTATGTACACCAGCTTGTACATCCTAAGGATAGAGTTGATTAACTGGATAAAAGAGACTTCGTTTACAAGATTCCCTGTGACAGTAGCAGCTCAGTTTATTTCGGTCAAACTGGAAAGTCGGCCTCTACACGCGTACATGAAAGTCATTTGACAGTAAGGAGGCAAGACCAATCATCTCACGTTGCCATGCATTTACTCGAAAGGATGCGAAACCTTGCATGATTAAAACTCGCATCGTTAGTTTCTGCCCATCTAAGAATGACCGTGCATTTTTGTAGGCAACTATTTTCGATGACTCGCGCACTAAAGTACATATCGAATTAGGTGTCGTATGCAACAATCTCAAAGAAAAAAAAATGGAGAAGGCGGCAGTCAATCCCACAGTGACAGCTTATGACAGAACTGACTGAGCACTATCCGTTTTTTCAAGCACACTTAACTCTTTTTGCACACTTGCTGCGCGTCCGACGACGACCTGCAGATTCGGTTTGGTAAATTTACACAACTAAGTTTGTAATCGTTTCTCAACGAACTCCTTTCCTTCGAATTATACACGTTTTCATGCGCTCACGCGGGGGTCTCCATTTCACGTTCTGCCGATAATTCGAAATGCCGAAACGGAACATCAGGCCATAATACGGTCCTTTTATTCCCTACATCATCCCCGGAAGAGGAAGGAGAATAAAAGACGATTTCTGGGACCAGAGTGTATTCTGGCTGACTTTTCAAAAGCTCGATCGCTTCCATCGTTAGAGCGTGGTGTCTGTACTCCTTTTCGCGTCAGATAAATGTGAACGACCATCCGTCTTGCCCATGTGTCAATCGATTGCACCGATCGATTTGAGTGGCTGTTTGAATTGCTTTATATTTTACTGTATCTGAAGTTTGGCAAGCCAAGTCGCAAAAGCCGAATCTGGCGTTCAGGATAGTCGGCGCTTTCACTAGACAATATGCTCTTCGCGAGGCTATCCCTTTGGGGCATTTGACACAGCGAATTCAGACTGTATAATTCCTAACACTGCCTTGCTGTTTGTAATCCTATTTCAATCATTTTAATTTTACTTGTGGGAAGCATGTTCACCTACAGGCTTTCACCACATCCTGTTGAGTTAAAGAATGATGCATTTAAAAAAAATTGGTTCATCCATCTTACGTTCACACCACGCTGAAGGCGTAGTACTATGCCACGGACAATCTAGATTAAGCGTACTACAGGTAAGGGCCGAGATGTGGTCTGTCGTTTAGGGGCTAGTACATCCTTGGAATTCTCTTTTCCCATGAGTGATGCTTGCTATGGCTAAGAGACACGCCGTACTTCGTTCTTAGAATAAATCAAGTTAGGAGAGATGTATGGCCGATCAGCTGCTTCAGTATACAACTTGGACTCTCACTCACTCAAGCATATGTTGGTGGGGCACAAACGCTCTACAAAAGAGAATGTATAAAATGGTTAAGTAACAAAGTCGCGCAAGTTGGTAGGAAAACGAACATGTCTACCAGTACGAGTGGAAGGGCGGGGTGGGACGGGAGGTCGGGGAGTAAGAGGGATGGGGGTAGTCAGGTGACGAGGGTGGCGGTGACGGCTCTTCTTTTCTGCGATTGTCTCCGAGGATCCGAAACGTCAGGCCAATAAACGTTCCAACAATCGCCCCCTTTCCTTCTCAAGGCTTGCACATCAAGCCGGCGCTGTCACCCGGCTGACGGTTTGAAATTGTAGGTAGTCTGTAAACACACTGATCGTTTCAGTGGTAGATCGGCGCTCGCCGATCGGCCACGGGACTCACCTGTCCTGTGTGTGTGTGTGTGTGTGTGTGTGCCGTAGCCTGCTGCTGAATTGGGAGTCTCCGCCAGAGTCCAAACTGGTTGTAATTGGAAGACGGAGAAACGCCGAGACCTACCGCGGGGTTAGATGGGAGCCTGGCCAGGAACTGCAGGCGGAACAAAAAGGTTACAGTCATGCGGAAAAACGCCGCAATCGGGATAGCTGTAGGATGTAGATGGGTCGAGCCGGTGTTAGTACTGGTGGAGGAGCAATGAGTAGCCATTGCGAAGTTGAACCAAGTTACAGCGAGTGACCCTCGGATGGTGTTATTCCGAGGCCACAATTGGAGAGAAATGGCCGCCTAATAGGACCGTAGGATAGTAGCTTAGTTTTCTCTCGTCCTGGTGTGTCTTGGTGCTCGCTTTCAAGGCGACCGGACAACCAACCTGTGGTTCAATAGCTAGAGCGTTTAACTTCGTTCCTCAGAGGGTTGCAACACCTGGGGTTGGGTATGGCTGGCCGATGATGGCCACTGAGCCAGAATCAGCCATTCCAATCTCTCGCTTGTTTTTCTCAGTCATATACTTCTACGATTACGTGCATCCGAGCCGTACGTGGTCTCCGTTCCTTTGATGGGATTAGCATGAGTTGCGGCGATACTGGCTGTTTTTGGTCGGTGACGGGGTCAGCC